ATTGGGATACAAATCGTTTGAGCAGAAATTTAAACTACAGCAATAACCATATTTAAATAATTAATTGCCGTTAAAAGTCTGCATGATTATCCGTGTAAACAGTTAATCGTCATCATTACAGCGGGGTCTAATGTGTGTGGTAAATTTGAAGTGCAGAAGGTTTTTTTCTTCCATTTGCTCTTCCTGTTCCTTATTTTTTTTCCTCTCCATCCTTCTTCTGCCGATGTTGTTGCCACCGTTAACGAATAGACAGATAGATGGGCAAACAGACGTATGGAGCAGAAGGACAGCAAAAAGGAAGGGGTGGGGTTATACTTGAGTTGTTTGATTGAGCAAAAATTTGCAGTTGTATTTATTAGAGCAAATTTGGAGAACCGAAAAGCACACCAAAAATAATTTGTCACATGCGAAAAACAAACAAATAACAACAGAACGAAAAAAATTTTACTTTTTTTTCTTTTTGTTATGAAGAAATCCTTTTTTTTCTAAAAGACATATTAGGAAAAGGTAAAGAGTGAACAAAACTAAGCTGTATTAGAAAACTTCAACTTGAGTCGTTTATTTCCTCAACTGATGTCGTTCAATAAGCCATTTTTCTTACTGCTCCCTTATTTCAAGCTTATTTCTCTTCTCTATCACCGTTTCTTCATATCCAAACTAGATTTTTGACAGCATAAATTTAAGATAATAGTAAAAGACAGCAAAATTACTAGAAGCCAATGAGTAAAGACGTATATAAAAGAAAATGCGGTTCATACTACTTTTGAAATTTTGAGTGAAAGAAGAGTGCTTAGAGTGGTTGTATTTTTGATGAAATATTTCACAAATAAGCTTTTGTTTTCTTTTTTTTTTTTTTAATTTTAATTTTAGATTTGTTATTTGCATAAAAATTGACTATCTCTCTACCACTCTTTTTCGCTTTTATATCTGCTTTTTTTTATCCAATTTTCACTTTATTTTATTTATTTACTTTTTTTAACTCGTTACTGCTGCTAATTTTAGACAACAAATCATGTTTTGTATGGCTTTATGCTAAAATGAAATTTAAAACTAGTAAAAAACTACTCTTTCAAACTTTTCTCTTCAAAATTCTTTCAATTTTCAATCTTATTATTTTTCCTGCTCTTTTTTTCTACACACCTACGTGAATATCATGCGAACGACTTGTAGTCCAATGTTTGTTCGCTGATGTATAGTCAGGTTTCCTGAAACACTTTAAAGTTTATTATCCATCTATCTAAGTGCGTATTTCCTTAACACACGGTTCAGCTATTGAAAATGTCAAAATTCAACAACAGTTCAAACTCTCAGGTCCCTAATCTTCAGTTTTGGTAAACAAATAAAACAACAGCAAAGAAAAAAAAACGATTATTAATAATTGTCCACTTAAAAATCTACTTTTCACTCATTTTGCCCAAACAGATTGATCATTTCATCTTGCAAAAAGAAAGACAGAAAAAAGGTCTTTTTTTTGGGAAGAAAAAGATCATAAATTACTACCGATAAAGAATCTTGTTGATCCTGTAAAATGATGGGTTTTTTTTGCCTTAAGTTTCGTGTGGGCAAAAAGTTATGATGCGCTCTATTGACAATCTCACTTATCAGTATCTGTCATTAAACGATAGTCGATGAGACATAAGAGAGGGAATTTTGTGGTTCTGACAGCTGTTAACCAATATAAAAATTAGCAATTTGCTGCTGCTGCAAAAACAAGGAAAATTTAGCATTTACTCTACCTTTCTATAACGTTTCACTTTCTTTTTGTGACAGAGTAATCTAGTCGGTTCTAACTAATACTGATAAACTAATTTTTTAGCGTTGTTCCGCAGGACTGTAACGGTAAAGAAGGATACAGCACAAGACTTTTCAGATGATACCCGTAAAAAAATTACGTATAGTGCAAAGCCACAAAGAGTAAGGGAAAATTGTGTTGATTATCAATCAGAGGTACTTATTTTTGATACACTATACGATACAGTTAAAGAAAAGTGCAAAATAAAATTAAAATGCAAATTGACTCAGAAGAAAACAGATTTAACCAAAAAAACAGCAAATTTTCTACACTATGATTACGTAGCCGCTTAAAATATTCCAGAAATAAAAAAATAAAAAATTTAACAAAAGTCCTATCGTTCACATCTTTTTCGCCTCTTAAATCCATAACTTTTTTTTTTCTCTTGCAGCTAAATGATCACTTAAACCTTCAGATTTTAGAAAAAGTCAGATAAACTTTGAAAAAAATGCTCAGCAAAAAATTACATTTTTTTTGGCAGTGGATTAGCCAAATACAAAGTTCATAGTGAACTGTTATCTCATTCTAAATTAGCCTTACTGCATTCCATTTTCTTCGTACTTTGAATTGTTAAGCACAAAAAAAAGTGAAAGTTTTTTAGTCAGTAAAGTAGACAAATTAATATCCACTTCGTAGTTTATTTACACATATGCTTCTCCGCTTAAATTTAGTTATCAACCAGTTTTTTAACAGACCAATGATAACGCACTGAACAGTCACCTACTGTGATTCCGAAACTGACAATGATCAACGAACCAACAAACCACAGTGAGCAGCGTAACAACAAGTGTCAAGGTCAAATTTTCGTGGTTTCGCCGACAAAGACGACACATGGAATCTTGCTAAACGATCCCGAATATGCACAAAAAAAGTAATTCAAAAAAAAAAGAACAGAATCTAGGCAAAAACAAAGACGGAAGTGAAGAACAAAAAATTCTGGCACACATGATCTTAAATATGTGATACACACAGACGCAGAATTGAAAATGTATGAAAAAGGTGGTTAGTTTGTTT